CTCCTCGGTCGCTGCATCAGTCTCTGACACACAGTGGGATTCACACGAGCTTTATCAGGAAGAGCAGAGAAACAAGGGGTTAAGGAGGTCGAGAGGGACAGAGGGCAGGGGCAGAGGACAGGGACAGAGGACAGGGGCAGAGGACAGGGGCAGAGGACAGGGACAGAGGACAGAGGACAGGGGCAGAGGACAGGGACAGAGGACAGGGGCAGAGGACAGGGGCAGAGGACAGGGGCAGAGGACAGGGGCAGAGGACAGGGGAAGAGGACAGGGGCAGAGGACAGGGGAAGAGGACAGGGGAAGAGGACAGGGACAGAGGACAGGGGCAGAGGACAGGGGCAGAGGACAGGGACAGAGGACAGTCGCTTCAGTCGCCTCAGACGCCTCAGTCGCTTCAGTCGCTTCAGTCGCTTCAGTCGCCTCAGTCGCCTCAGTCGCTTCAGTCGCCTCAGTCGCCTCAGTCGCTTCAGTCGCCTCAGTCGCCGCAGTCCGCTTCAGTCGCTGCAGTCGCTTCAGTCACCTCAGTCGCCTCAGTCGCCTCAGTCGCTTCAGTCGCCTCAGTCGCTGCAGTCGCTTCAGTCGCCTCAGACGCCTCAGTCGCTTCAGTCGCTTCAGTCGCCTCAGTCGCTTCAGTCGCTTCAGTCGCCTCAGTCGCTTCAGTCGCTTCAGTCGCCGCAGTCGCTGCTGTCGCCACAGTCGCCGCAGTAGCCGCAGTAGCCGCAGTCGCTTCAGTCGCTGCAGTCGCTTCAGTCGCCTCAGTCGCCTCAGTCGCTTCAGTCGCTTCAGTCGCCGCAGTCGCTGCTGTCGCCACAGTCGCCGCAGTCGCTTCAGTCGCTGCAGTCGCTTCAGTCGCTTCAGTCGCCTCAGTCGCTTCAGTCGCCTCAGTCGCTGCAGTCGCTTCAGTCGCCTCAGTCGCTTCAGTCGCCTCAGTCGCCTCAGTCGCCTCAGTCGCTTCAGTCGCTTCAGTCGCCTCAGTCGCCTCAGTCGCTTCAGTCGCCGCAGTCGCTTCAGTCGCTTCAGTCGTCTCAGTCGCTTCAGTCGCCTCAGTCGCCTCAGTCGCTTCAGTCGCCGCAGTCGCTGCTGTCACCACAGTCGCCGCAGTAGCCGCAGTCGCTTCAGTCGCTGCAGTCGCTTCAGTCGCTGCAGTCGCTTCAGTCGCTTCAGTCGCCTCAGTCGCTTCAGTCGCCTCAGTCGCTGCAGTCGCTTCAGTCGCCTCAGTCGCTTCAGTCGCCTCAGTCGCCTCAGTCGCCTCAGTCGCCTCAGTCGCTTCAGTCGCTTCAGTCGCCTCAGTCGCCTCAGTCGCTTCAGTCGCCGCAGTCGCTTCAGTTGCTTCAGTCGCCTCAGTCACTTCAGTCGCCTCAGTCGCCTCAGTCGCTTCAGTCGCCGCAGTCGCTGCTGTCACCACAGTCGCCGCAGTAGCCGCAGTCGCTTCAGTCGCTGCAGTCGCTTCAGTCGCCTCATGCCGTGTTCAGACCGATCGCGATGGAGGAGTCAGGGGCGAGTGATTTACATGTTATGTCTATGGCCGGGTGCGCTCAGGAGCGAATGACAGGCCGGCGGTGCGAATGACGAGAGTAGAGCGAGGCGAACAGGGCGTTTTGAACGAAAAGAGCGGAACGAAAGTGGCGAAAGGGGCGTTTGACGCGCGCCTAGAGCCATTTCGCCTCCACCGCCCTACTCGCTCGAGTTGAAAAATCTGAACTTTTTGGTCAATTCGCGGGGCGTTGACCAATCAGGGACTGAATCGAGCAGTGACGTAGCATTGAACAACATTTAGTTATCTAACCTAATGGACTATTAATTATCTAACCCCCACCTGAAACGAGCTTATCGTGTCTAGTTTGGCATAACTAACTGATTAGTTTGGCATAAATCTAAAAGCTAAACAGTGGCACAATGGCTTTACATGTAAAGTACTTGGATTATAACATTTGGAATCTTATTTATTGAGAACCGCTTGATTTACTAACCGAAGACAGATGGACAGGCGCTCTGCAGGGGAGATAGAGCGCCTGTAGTTGGTCTCCCGGACGGTGATCCGAGCCCCAACGCGGGACAGCAGGTCCTCAAACTGGGTCCTGGACACACGGAAATACCGCTGGAATCGACCGTCATCCAGGCGCAGCTCCTGGAGCAGATGGTGGTACTCCCCATATTGGGAGCGTCTCTGGAGGATATCGTGGACCCAGAGACGGCGTCGCTGCCGCCGCTGTTCGGCTTTCCACATTAAATAAAGTATAGTGACTCGTTCCAGAAAATCAAAGCCCGCCATGCTGAGTTGAACAACAACCGGAACCGGCAACTGGCCATAAGCTCCTCCTATTGGATGACGCGGCGAGGCAAAATCTCGACGAAAATCCGCAGGCGAACAGAGCGAGTAATCGCCGCGATAGAAGCGAGTGTCATCAAATATTCAAGCGAAAAACGCCTGGCGTTTGATGCAATTTTTTCGCCTCCATCGCGATCGGTCTGAACACGGCATCAGTCGCTTCAGTCGCCTCAGTCGCTTCAGTCGCTTCAGTCGCTTCAGTCGCCTCAGTCGCTTCAGTCGCCGCAGTCGCTTCAGTCGCTTCAGTCGCTTCAGTCGCTTCAGTCGCCTCAGTCGCTTCAGTCGCCTCAGTCGCTGCAGTTGCCGCAGTCGCTTCAGTCGCTTCAGTCGCTTCAGTCGCTTCAGTTGCTGCAGTCGCCGCAGTCGCTTCAGTCGCCTCAGTCGCTTCAGTCGCTTCAGTCGCTTCAGTCGCCTCAGTCGCTTCAGTTGCTGCAGTCGCTTCAGTCGCTTCAGTTGCTGCAGTCGCCGCAGTCGCTTCAGTCGCCTCAGTCGCTTCAGTCGCCTCAGTCGCTGCAGTTGCCGCAGTCGCCTCAGTCGCTTCAGTCGCTTCAGTTGCTGCAGTCGCCGCAGTCGCTTCAGTCGCTTCAGTCGCCTCAGTCGCTTCAGTCGCTTCAGTCGCCTCAGTCGCTTCAGTTGCTGCAGTCGCTTCAGTCGCTTCAGTTGCTGCAGTCGCCTCAGTCGCTTCAGTCGCCTCAGTCGCTTCAGTCGCCGCAGTCGCTTCAGTCGCTTCAGTTGCTGCAGTCGCCTCAGTCGCTTCAGTCGCTTCAGTTGCTGCAGTCGCCTCAGTCGCTTCAGTCGCCTCAGTCGCTTCAGTCGCCGCAGTCGCTTCAGTCGCTTCAGTTGCCTCAGTCGCTTCAGTCGCCTCAGTCGCTGCAGTTGCCGCAGTCGCTTCAGTCGCTTCAGTCGCTTCAGTCGCTTCAGTTGCTGCAGTCGCCGCAGTCGCTTCAGTCGCCTCAGTCGCTTCAGTCGCTTCAGTCGCTTCAGTCGCTTCAGTTGCTGCAGTCGCCGCAGTCGCTTCAGTCGCCTCAGTCGCCTCAGTCGCCTCAGTCGCCTCAGTCGCTTCAGTCGCCGCAGTCGCCTCAGTCGCTTCAGTCGCTGCAGTCGCTGCAGTCGCTGCAGTCGCTGCAGTCGCTTCAGTCTCAGATGTTTTTGGAAATTACATGTTTCCGTCTCTGCCGCCGAGGATCATGGGAAATACTGGTTTGACGACATTACAAGTCACAGCTTCATCTCAAACACCAAAGATCAGGTCACAGCAACCAGGTGGGACTGAACCAAGTGGGACTGAACAAAGTGGGACTGAACCAAGTGGGACTGAACCAAGTGGGACTGAACAAAGTGGGACTGAACAAAGTGGGACTGAACCAAGTGGGACTGAACCAAGTGGGGACTGAACCAAGTGGGACTGAACCAGGAGGGACTGAACCAGGAGGGACTGAACCAAGTGGGACTGATCCAGGTGGGACTTAACCAGGAGGGACTGAACCGAGACTGAACCAGGAGGGACTGAACCAAGTGGGACTGAACCAGTTGGGACTGAGCCAGGAGGGACTGAACCGAGACTGAACCAGGTGGGACTGAACCAAGTGGGACTGAACCAAGTGGGACTGAACCAGTTGGGACTGAGCCAGTTGGGACTGAGCCAGTTGGGACTGAGCCAGGAGGGACTGAACCGAGACTGAACCAGGTGGGACTGAACCAGACGGACTGAACCAAGTGGGACTGAACCAGGAGGGACTAAACCGAGTGGGGACTGAACCAGGTGGGACTGAACCAGGAGGGACTGAACCAGGTGGGACTGAACCAAGTGGGACTGAACCAAGTGGGACTGAACCAGGTGGGACTGAACCAAGTGGGGACTGAACCAGGTGGGACTGAACCAGGAGGGACTGAATCGAGACTGAACTAGGTGGGACTGGAACCAAGTGGGACTGAACCAAGTGGGACTGAACCAGGTGGGACTGAACCAGGTGGGACTGAACCAAGTGGGGACTGAACCAGGTGGGACTGAACCAGGAGGGACTGAATCGAGACTGAACTAGGTGGGACTGAACCAAGTGGGACTGAACCAAGTGGGACTGAACCAGGTGGGACTCAACCAGGTGGGACTGAACCAGGAGGGACTGAACCAAGTGGGACTGAACCAGACGGACTGAACCAAGTGGGACTGAACCAGGAGGGACTAAACCGAGTGGGGACTGAACCAGGAGGGACTAAACCGAGTGGGGACTGAACCAGGTGGGACTGAACCAAGTGGGACTGAACCAGGTGGGACTGAACCAAGTGGGGACTGAACCAGGTGGGACTGAACCAAGTGAGACTAAACCAGGTGGGACTGAACCAAGTGGAACCGAACCAAGTGGAACCAAACTAAGTGGGACTGAACCAGGTGGGACTGAACCCAGTGGGACTGAACCAAGTGGGACTGAACCAAGTGGGGACTGAACCAGGTGGGACTGAACCAGGTGGGACTGAACCAAGTGGGACTGAACCAGGTGGGACTTAACCAGGAGGGACTGAACCGAGACTGAACCAGGCTGATCTTCTGCAGGGGGTGAGTCCACAGGAAGATGGCTGCTCTGTCAGTGGTGAAACAGCCTTGGTCTTTCAGCGGGGGCTTCAGGCACCGTGGGGTTAAGTGTCTTGCCCAAGGACACAACGACGATTCTCAAATCATTAACGACAAAACAAGGAATAAAACCAGGATTTCTATCTTTGTGAAAAAGGTGTTGGTTATAGATTTGTTGTTGACAAAACTCTTGTCTATTCAGCTGTTATGGTCCCAGCTGGAGAGAGGCTGCAGTACCACTTTTGGCCACATGTTTACACACTGCTCCTTTAAAATCTTACTTTTCCTCATCAATAAAACAGTGTTTGTCCAAACTGAAAGAGGAGTATAAAAGATACATTTATACAATTAGAAAACACTTCTGCAAACGTATTAAAGAGATCCCTGTGAGTTACTATTTGACTCTTTGAGCTGAGAACTGATTGGCTGAGAGGGTGTGGTCCTCCCTCAGTCACTTTTCTGTCTGAAAAAGCTGATCTAAAATTGTGACAGAAGCCAAAGAATATGTGAAAACGGACGGATTATTAGATAGTTCAATTGTTTTACGGTTTGAAAGTTACGCACCTCACCTTTAATTGCCACTGCCTAAATCTCTTGTGTAATGAGTATGTAACAGAGATTGTGTGTCATTACCGTTCACACAGGTTGGTCTGGTTCACTTTAATTGGACCAATCCTTGAGTACCAACATGCACATTTGTGGCCCTGTGGACCTCTGTGGTCACCACCTGCAAAACCATAACTCTTTTGCAGTGACCTTTTTAATTGCCTCTCATTTCCACCTGTTGTCAGTTTAATTTCCACAACATCAGGTGAAATTTATTCACAATTAGTGTGGCTTCCAAACTGGACGGTCTGATATCCAGACATTTGTCTGACTTGGAGTTACATTGTGTTTGATGAGTGTGCCCTAAGTTTTTGTGAGCAGTGTATTTTCCATTTTCCCGCCACTTTCCTTCTCTTGAGCCTGGTCTTACCATGTGTAAACTCTGGTCCGTGATCATCTCCTACATGTACGTCTGGTCTTACCATGTGTAAACTCTGGTCCATGGTCATTTCCTACATGTACGTCTGGTCTTACCATGTGTAAACTCTGGTCCATGATCATTTCCTACATGTACGTCTGGTCTTACCATGTGTAAACTCTGGTCCATGGTCATTTCCTACATGTACGTCTGGTCTTACCATGTGTAAACTCTGGTCCATGGTCATTTCCTACATGTACGTCTGGTCTTACCATGTGTAAACTCTGGTCCATGGTCATTTCCTACATGTACGTCTGGTCTTACCATGTGTAAACTCTGGTCCATGATCATCTCCTACATGTACGTCTGGTCTTACCATGTGTAAACTCTGGTCCATGATCATTTCCTACATGTACGTCTGGGTCTGATCCTAGTGGCTGCAGTTTCCTCGGTTGAATCCCCTCCGACCAATCAGAGAGCACAAGAGTTTGTGCTGAATTTGCTGGTTGTAGTTTGTCGGAGAATGCGATAGTAAAATAATCTGTTCTGGTTCAATCCAAATATCAAGAAACTGAAGCCGGAGCAAGAGGAATGTTTAGTAAATGTCATTGAAGCAAAGATGTTGTGGCTCTACTCCCCACGGGCTCCGTTAGCGGCAAAGGAGATGCTAAAGCTAGGCTAAATGCTAAAGCTAGGCTAAATGCTAACGACTCACTCAGGCTCATTGAAAACATCACGGTAAACTCAGAGCCAATGGTTTCAATCTGCAAAAGGAGTTAGCCCCTCCCACCTGTTAACGGAGTCAATGGAGACAATCCAGACCTCAGTACAAATGAAATGAGTACGATGGTGTGGTAAGACCAGGTTACTTCTCTCAGTAAAAAAACAAAGTTAATCATTTATTATGAGCTGATAGCTTTTCCATGGTTTGACCATGTGCATTTTAATATGTAAAAACTTCAGGATTCATATTACACTCTGCAGGGCTGATAAAATCGGCGATGAAGACTATTCCTCTCACACCCATATTAGCTCGACCTAGAGTCCAACATTCAGAACCACTCATGTACCTCCAAAACCACCTAGGGTTTCCAATTCACCTACAAAAACCACCTCAGCCCGTCCCTAATCTCATAACCAATCCACCCCCAGCCAAGTCCCCCTCGTTCAACACCCAATACCTCCACCTCTTCATGCTGCTAAAATCTGGAATAATCTTCCTGAAGATGTGAGACAGACCTCCTCTCTGACAATGTTTATTAAAACAGTTCTGTTTAGCTATGCACACAACTGAGGAATTTTTTATTTATTTTTAATGTACTGTGATGATTTTTTCTTCAGCACTTTGAGTTGCCTTATGTATGACTTGTGCTATACAAATAAACTTGCCTTAAAACATATTTACCAGTTTTATTTCTGTACTTTTGCACATGTATTCCAATGTGGTTTTACTGCATTTGATAAATACCTCTAAGCTTCACATTAAAAGAATCTGAATTATCTTGGACAAGAGCTAACCGACCGGTCCCTCTGGTGTGTTTCCCAGAGACAGGTTCAACCTGGGACTTCCCGCTCCTCCCAGGTCCAGCCACAAAATGGCCGACAAGGACACGCCCTCAGGAAAGTATGGAAATAAGAGATAACTGAAAATAAACCTGGGATGAAGTTAGCAGATGAGGGGAAAATACATGTACAAGTGACAATAAAACGTTTTTCCATTCACCCATAGTTCCATTTAAAGTGATTTAAAAGTGAGGTACCCCAGCTTTAGTGTTGCTTCTATTCTAAAGTGAGCCATGGTGAGACCTTGGATCAGTTGAGTGGCTCTGTGGAGAGAATCCATTCTCTTAGTGCTTTGAGTTTTTAGGTTTAGTCTAGTATCAAAGTATTTTTGCACATTTGTCCCCCACTCCAGAGATGGAGGAGGAGCCAACAGGAGGACCATGTCAGAACTATTGTGTATACATATATATTCGTTTATTCTTCGGCCATCAGCAGAAAATAAGAAAACATTTGACATTCACAAATTATAAATTATATACTGACCGAAAGGGTTAGGCTGAAGTTTAACACTTATTTCGCCTAACCCTATTAACAAATAACAAAATTACATTTCTTACTTATACAAATGTAACAAAATTATATACAATGTAGCGGATCCACAGAGCTTACAGTATTTCCAAATACAATTTTCATTGTAAGAAAATAAATAGTTCGTACTAATTCAAAGAAATATTCCTTGTAATCACATTATATACATAAACACAGAGTATGACATATATATATATATTTATATATATATATATTTTTTTCTTTATTATTATTTATTTATTTTAATTTTCTTCCTTTTATGTATATAATATATATATATATCTATACATGGATTTAAATACACATACACACATTCATACATATACATATATATATACATACACACACATACAAACATACACCTATACCTGTACCTGCATACACACAGGTTATTATTATTATTATTCTAGTGATTTATACTTTTCTTCAACAATAGCCTTAAAGCGCTTTTTAAATGTGTGAATTGAGGTGGAACATTTGAGTGGCTCATCCAGGCCATTCCAAAGATGAACCCCCCTGACAGAGATGCATCTACTTTTTAAACTGGTTCTCACATTTGGTTTCTTAAAGACATACACACCTCTTAATTCATAAGGACTCTCTCTAGGTTTGAACCTCTCCTGTATGCGCTGAGGGAGCAGGTGGTTATGGGCTTTGTACATGAAAATCGCAGTGTTTAGGTCAACAAGGTCATGAAATTTTAATGTTTTTAATTTGATGAAGAGGGCGTTTGTAGGAGCATAAAAATCTGCATAATTAACTATTCTGACAGCCTTCTTTTGGAGCAAAACAACTGATTGGACGTTGGATTTGAAATTGTTTCCCCATATTTCGACACAATAATTGAGATATGGAAGTATGAAAGAGTTGTACAACATTTTAAGTGCATTTTGGTTTACAGAGTATTTTACTTTGTGCAACATTGCTATAATTTTTTGACAACTTTGTTTTCATTACATTTATGTGTAGCTTCCAATTAATTTTCTCATCGATATGAATTCCTAAAAACGTTGTTGTGTGTACTCTTTCTATTTCCCTATCGCCAATTTTTATGTGACATTGAGTGTTGATTTTCTTATTTCCAAAAAATCATATACTTAGTTTTATTCAAATTGATTGACAGCTTATTATCATCAAACCATTCTTTTAGTTGGGAAAGTTCCGACTCTACAGTTTCTAGGAGCTGTCCAAGATCTTGCCCAGAACAGTACAAGCTCGTATCATCAGCAAACATAATGCAGTTTCGTTTTTTTAAAACTTCGCAGATATCATTTATATACATTATAAACAGTTTGGGTCCCAGTACAGAGCCTTGAGGAACTCCATGAGTTATGTTCATTTTATCAGAATTTATGTTGTTTATATGGACGTACTGTTCTCTGCCACCAAGATAACTTCTCAACCAATCATGTGCAACACCTCTGACACCATATCTCTCCATTTTCTTTAAAAGTAATGTGTGGTCTATGGTATCAAAGGCAGGAAAACACCAACCGTAAATTGCTCTTTATCAATTGCGGTTGTTACCTCCTCCACCAGTTCCATCACTGCCATAGAGGTGGACCGGTTTGATCTGAAGCCATATTGCTGCTCGCAAAGTAAATGGTGATTATCAATGAAAGAATCCAGTCTGGTTATAAAGATTTTTTCTAGAATTTTCGAGAATTGTGGCAGTAATGATATTGGCCTATAGTTTGTACACAGATGTTCATCTCCACTCTTAAAGATGGGTATGACTTTTGCAGTCTTCATTTTATATGGGAAGACACCTTTGAGAAAAGAAAGATTACAAACATAAGTGAAGGGAACAACTATATATTCAACAATTTCCTTGACCATACACATGTCTATGTCAAAACAATCCGTTGACTTTTTATTTTTGAAGGAATTTACTATTTCAATTATTTCATACTCTTGTACTGGGGTAATGAAAAATGATTGTAGATTATTTTGAATAGGTTGCTCACTATTCACTATTTTACTTTTATGAGCAATTTCATTCACTAGCGTGGGTCCAACATTCACAAAGAAATTGTTAAATAAATTAGCTATTTCCTTTGTATTATTTATTGTTTGGTCCTTGTCCAAAAATATATTGGATATTCCTTCTTTTTAATGTCTTTTTTAATAATACTATTTAATACTTTCCATGTTCCTTGTACATTATTTTTATGTTGATCTAATAGGTTACAAAAGTATGTTCTTTTGCTGAATTTTATAATTTTAACTAGCTTGTTTTTGTATGTTTTATATCTCTGTTCATCATCTTTGGTTCTGCTTTTTATACATTTTCTATAGAGACAATTTTTCTTCTTACATGATTTTAATTTACAATTTCCTAATTGGACAGTGCTTTTCATATAATTTTAACAGGGTGTTAATAAAGGCTTCATATGCCTTGTAACAATATCTGTATTCACACACTTAAATTGATCATCTGTATAATATTCACAATCACTAACTATATTATAGAGATGACTATCTGGATCTATATCACTACCAAATTCAATGTTTATAGTGGTAGGTAACTGGAGCACCTGGAGGAAACTTATGCAGAAAGGCCTTCTAGCTGTGAGGCACAAGCCCCTGAACCTCGTTGGAGGACCTCAGGAGAGAGAAGCAGAGACTGTCCTTTTGTGCTCTTTCAGTGTCATCATTTCCTTGACAAATGTTTGCTCCGTGACTAAAGAGGCAGTGGAATCTGAGACCTGAAAAACCAGTGTGACCAGCTGAGGACGAAACCAGCACAAACACCATGTGATCCCAGTTTGGTCTTTATTAAAACGCCAAATGAACAAAAGTGGATTTAGAGCCAAACAAAACATCAAAGCCATCGCTGTTTCAAATCCAGACGATCGTCATGAAGCGAGGACTCATTTGTGATACACGTTAAACCCCATATAATAATTACAAAAAAAACAATTCAAAATAGAAAATAAAAATCAGACAAAAAACTAAAGCGTGGCACTAGAACGATTCTGAAATGGAGAGTACAAAATGAAATGGCTTCTTCCTGAGGGTGAATTCATGGATCTGGTCTAAACTACACCATGAAAATATACAAATGTTATTTAATAATCGTGTAACGTCACTGTGCAGAGGGTTTGCTTTGACGACAATAGACTTTGACACTGAAAATGTGAGATCTGGAAAAGCTGAAAACAAAGCACTTTTGAAATCTCTATTTTTCAATCGTCTTCAGAGATTGAAATAAATAGAATTAAAGCTGCAACATTGTTCCTGCTCAGGCCAGTCCCGACTTAAAAACAACCATTTGTACATTCAGTTAAAACATTGAACAAAAATAAATGTTTAGACAGATGTGGGAGTGTTTAAAGGTTTGTTGGAGACATCTTTACAGTGGAACATAGAAGTGTTAATATGGTTTGGCTGTAGAGGGCGGAGGACTTTAGTGAGACATTAGTGTCGCTACAGTTCATGTGTGCGGTGGTTAGACCAGAGCGTGAGCGGCGAACACTGCGGCGACAGAGGCCAGGGCCAGCTGCAGAGCCCCAGGGAGCCCTGCGGGGGCGCTGTTGCACAGGTCTGTGCTGCAGCAGGTCTTGGTCATGGCGTAGGCGGTGGTGTTTCCAGACGCAAGGAAGTTCACGTTCTCCGTTTTGTTGCATTTGGAACTCTCCAGACAGCCCTTCATCTTGACGGGTATCAGGCTAGCTGCAAAGACAGTTCATTTGACCGTTAGGAGATTTAATTATGAGTTTATACATTATATATTACACATTTCATTACTATTATGATTCATATCTACATGATGAAGAATGCATTTCATTTATATGCAACATGTGTTTGTGTGAATACCCAGACTGCACCCTACGCCCTCCTATGAAGTGTGCATTTGTTTGAAGTGCGCGCAAGGGTTTGAGTGACAGGTTACAAGCGTGCTCAAAAGGTGGAATTGGGACAGTGCACTGAGTGCAGGTGACGTCATCGACTCGTCAGAGATGGTCATTTTCAGACCTAAACTTTATAAACATTAAAGGTAATTTTGTCTGACCCTTTGGGAAACAAAATGAATTGCTTCACACACATTAAAATACATGTATATTAGTGGTTTTTAATTAGAGATAGCTGTATAATTTTAAGTTAAATGTGGGTAACTAACTATCTGGTCAGTTTTTATACATTCTAAGGTTATTGTACTGAGTGTAAAGTTTAAATTGAATGTTATATAAACGCTTGGTTTAAAAAGTTATTCAATTGTTAAAACACAATGTCCGTAATTCTTCATCAAACGTTTATGCTTCTTTCCAAGTAACAGCAAAACTTATTTACACACATACTGCACATATATTTCAAAATGTATATTTAAATGCATTTTCCCGACGTTTTGGTGTGTAACGCAAAGCATTATGGGCAATATCCTTCGCCAGTGTGGATCAGGGGCGCAAAGAGGGCGGGGCCAAAGACCTCCCTGGAGAATTGGGACTGTACCCTACGCACTCGCACCCTTTATCAGGGAACGCGCAAATGAGGGGCGCAAGGTGGAAGTGCGAGTATTGGGACGGGGCTAAATGTGTGTAATACTGTGAGATTTCATATAATTTTGAAGCAACTTTTGTTAAAGTTAAACTGATCATTCTACCAATGTGCAGAAGCCAGTACTTTTCCACTTCATGTTTTGACTCTCTCTGCTGCACCGTGGCAGCTGCTGATTGGAGGTCTCTGTTTCTCCTGAGTATATCACCAGTTTCTGTCTTTAACATCCTTTGTTTCGTGTTGTTCGTGCTGTCTCTACCATTGACAATAAAACATGTCTTCTGTCTTAATATAAGACGTGATCCCAGACTTTGTCATCTTCTTCAATACTAATGCTAATAAACCTGTAAGATACAGTATGACCAATGTCCATAAATGTCAATGATTGTCCACATTATCCCATATTATGACTGTCCTTGGACCGTCCTGCATCAGTGAGAGCGTTTAAGGAACAAAACCCCAGTGGGAAAAAAGTGAGAAACCTCATTGGCCGAGAGAGGGATCCACTCTCACTGATGGACTGGCCACAGAACCAGGACTCAGGCTCTAGAACGAGGACTGAGTACGTAAGTAATGTTTATTTATATAGCACATTTCACAGAACAAGGTACAGACCCAAAGCACTTTACAATGTTCAGAGTCAGATATTGTTCCAATCATTCCACACACGGTGATGACAGAAGCGAGTCCAGAACACACTGGACCATCAGCTCCAACACCATCATTCACTCTCTCATTTACATTCAGACCTATTGTGCATGTTCCAGAGCACCCGGAGGAAACCTACGCAGACACGGGGAGAACATGCAAACGCCACTCAGAAAGGCCCTGTTTCGACCGGTATTCGAACCCAGGACTTTCTTCTTGCTGAGAGGCGAGAGTGCTAACCACTCAGCCACCGTGCCGCCCAGAGTCTGTACGGTGCAGGGCCGAGGCCCAGTTTAAAAGTAATTTCTGTGATTTACCTTAAAATATGAAACTAACATATGATACAGTCCTGTTAAATGCAAAGTGACACGTGCCTTTGGTGCCTCAGGTGGTGTCTCACTCTGCGTGTGATCAGTCTGTCTCGTTTCACTTTGTACATTGAGCCAACTGACATTTCTAAATGACTCTAAATTATTTTAAAGCTGTAGCTTCTCCAAATGTAGACAACAGGTTTTACTTTTATTCCAGTTCCAGCTTGCAAAATAAAAATATCACGTGACAATAAGTCATAACTTTAAAACCTGAAATATGTATAACATTAATATTCTAAGATTGTATAACTGTATCTATGCATGAGCTAAAGTGAAGGATTATGATTCTGACCGTAGTGACCAGTGTGTTTTGTAGCAAGAAGGTCCTGGGTTAGATTCCACCTCCAGACCTTTCTGTGTGGAGTTTGCATGTTCTCCTCATGTACAATAGTTCTGTGGCGCTCCTCCCAAATGCCCTCAACAAATGTAAAGGTCTTTGTGACTGTGGTCTGAGAAAAGCTCTATATCTATAAAGATTACTTACTAAATAACCAATTAGTCATGATTAAGCTGAAGAATAGTTACGGCTGACATCATTCAGACACGGCTCGTAACAAGCCTAAGGGCCATATATGAGACTCACGATATAATCCACCCGTACATGACGCAACACGTGAAATAAAAGCATTATTATGACTGTAATTAACAGTGCAGGTCGGGCTGAATCCAGATGTGAGTGGAAAGAGGAAGCCGTGATGTCATCGTGAAGTGAACGGTATGTGAAGGAAAACTGGGCGTGTGGAGGAACTCAGGCGTGAGCTCCAGTCACAAAGAATCCTTAGAATCTATGACTTAACCTGTGTGAGGTGTGTCGACTCTGACTGCTGTAAAACTATACGCTGTTATTGCCACTTTTTCCAAGAACTGATGCATTTTCTCTCATTCCAAAAGAGACATTTCTTGTATCTTTTTAAAACAAGATCATTTTGCTTTGTCTTGTTTCAAGGCTCAGAGAGAAAGTGCGCAAATTAAGATACATTTGGACCAATTTGAGAAATGTTTGACCTATTTTTCAGCATTTTTACAGTGCAGCGCCAAAACACGTTGCCTTTTGGTAATACAGGATTTTGATACTATCTTTTTTTGAATGCTTCAGTCTTTTCACTTCTCAACAAGAAGGTTTGAATCCCGGTCGGAACAGGGCCTTTGTCTATGAGGGCCCGATACCATGACACAGAGGGCCGCAGTTGGCCCACGGGCCTGAGTTTGGACATGCCTGACTTTGACCTAATACCAGGTTCTGAAGGTGTGTCTCTGCTCAGAACCCGAGTGTGTGTGTGTGTGTGTGTGTGTGTGTGTGTGTGTGTGTGTGTGTGTGTGTGTGTGTGTGTGCGTGTGCGAGTGTGTGTGTGTGCGAGTGTGTGTGTGCGAGTGTGTGTGTGTGTGTGTGTGTGTGTGTGTGTGTGTGTGCGAGTGTGTGTGTGTGTGTGTGTGTGTGTGTGTGTGCGAGTGTGTGCGTGTGTGTGTGTGCGAGTGTGTGTGCGTGTGTGTGTGTGTGTGTGTGCGATGTGTGTGTGTGTGTGCGAGGGTGTGCGTGTGTGTGTGTGTGTGTGTGTGCGAGTGTGTGTGTGTGTGTGTGTAAATATTTAAACTGTGACACACACGGCTCTTTCTGCAGCACACACTAATCACTCCATAAAACTCATGTAAACAATACGTGTCATTATCAAGTAGAAAAGTTGTAACAAAACTCACTATATTTTTTCATAATTCATTCATAATTAGAATAAAACGCAACATATGTAATTTATTATCTTTCCAATCCACCAGTTTTGTTGTTGTTCAGGTCGTTCAGTTGAATCTTACAGTGCCTTGCAAAAGTATTCGGCCCCCTTGAACCTTTCAACATTTCGCCACATTTCAGGCTTCAAACATAAAGATATAAAATTTTAATTTTTTGTCATGAATCAACAACAAGTGGGACACAATCGTGAAGTGGAACAAAATTTATTGGATAATTTAAACTTTAAAAAAAAATTAAAAACTGAAAAGTGGGGCGTGCAATATTATTCGGCCCCTTTACTTTCAGTGCAGCAAACTCAGTCCAGAAGTTCAGTGAGGATCTTTGAATGATCCAATGTTGTCCTAAATGACTGATGATGATAAATAGAATGCACTTGTGTGTGATCAAGTCTCCGTATAAATGCACCTGCTCTTTGATAGTCTCAGGGTTCTGTTTAAAGCGCAGAGAGAACCATGAAGACAAAGGAACACACCAGGCAGGTCCGAGATACTGTTGTGGAGAAGTTTAAAGCCGGATTTGGATACAAAAACATTTCCCAAGCTTTAAACATCTCAAGGAGCACTGTGCAAGCAATTATATTGAAATGGAAGGAGTATCAGACCACTGCAAATCTACCAAGACCCGGCCGTCCTTCCAAACTTTCATCTCAAACAAGGAGAAGACTGATCAGAGATGCGGACAAGAGGCCCATGATCACTCTGGATGAACTGCAGATAACTACAGCTGAGGTGGGGATGGTGTGTTCAGGGTGATGAGCTGTGTTGCTTTTACGGCAAACATATCGTTTTGCATTGTGGCCAAAAAGTTTGATTTTGGTTTCATGTGACCAGAGCACCTTCTTCCACATGTTTGGTGTGTCTCCCAGGTGGCTTGTGGCAAACTTTAAACAAGACTTTTTATGGATATCTTTGAGAAATGGCCACTCTTCCATAAAGGCCAGATTTGTGCAGTGCACGACTGATTGTTGTCCTATGGACAGACTCTCCCACCTCAGCTGTAGTTATCTGCAGTTCATCCAGAGTGATCATGGGCCTCTTGTCCGCATCTCTGATCAGTCTTCTCCTTGTTTGAGATGAAAGTTTGGAGGGACGGCCGGGTCTTGGTAGATTTGCAGTGGTCTGATACTCCTTCCATTTCAATATAATTGCTTGCACAGTGCTCCTTGAGATATTTAAAGCTTGGGAAATCTTTTTGTATCCAAATCCGGCTTTAAACTTCTCCACAACAGTATCTCGGACCTGCCTGGTGTGTTCCTTTGTCTTCATGGTTCTCTCTGTGCTTTAAACAGAACCCTGAGACTATCAAAGAGCAGGTGCATTTATACGGAGACTTGATTACACACAGGTGCATTCAATAAATAAATAAATAAATTCAAAGATCCTCACTGAACGTCTGGAGTGAGTTTGCTGCACTGAAAGTAAAGGGGCCGAATAATATTGCACGCCCCACTTTTCAGTTTTTTTTATTTTTTTTTAAAGTTTAAATTATCCAATACATTTCATTCCACTTCACGATTGTGTCCCACTTGTTGTTGATTCATGACAAAAAATTTAAATTTTATATCTTTATGTTTGAAGCCTGAAATGTGGCAAAATGTTGAAAGGCTCAAGGGGGCCGAATACTTTCGCAAGGCACTGTAGTCATGGGTGAAACTAAAGGCCGTCCCTGTGACAGTCCAGAGTCTATTCTCCGCTCACTTTCTGTTAGCATTGTTGTGCTAATTGTTGAGATAAGATGCTAATGGTCTCTGACACATGGTCTTTCCACTACTTTGCCTAAACACGCTCAGCAGCAGTTTGACTCCATCCAACAGGATTCGGAAAAGTGGTTTGTTTGTGTGTCCTGTTGCTCAGTAAATGGCCTTTAACATCTGTACCCGACATTTATATGTTCTTCTGTTCTGATGCCTCACCGTAGACACTTTACTGCTGATGTTTTTACTGCTGCTGTTTTTCATATTCTCTGCTGCTAAAATACAACACCAACCCTCTGTAAATGTACATTGCATTATGGGATCAATAAAGTTTTCTGAATCTGAAACCTCATGACTGTTATCTACAGTATCCTCCTTAAGCCACTTATCCTTGAGCCAAGTTCACTGAGTTTAATATTTTATTATTTTACCATCTTTTGTCTTTTGTCTGCGTCCTGTTTGATTTCTCCGTCTGAAGCACAAGTAAATATCTTTTTATGTTATACCTGCTCAGTTTTTAGACTTTTCATGGTCGTCATCTTTATCATGGGATTTTAACGTACCATTGTGTCTGTTTGTGTCTATTGTTGCCAGTTTACAGAATTGTTATGTTTCTTTTCTTGTCCAGGCCTTTGAGTTTCCCTGAGCTAAACAAATAACCTGCCTTTCCTACTAAATTCAAAATAATGGTAGAAATCCAGGTCTTCGTGGTGCTTCGTCGAACAATGCTTGAAAACTCTTGCAAAACCATTGACTTTGGTTTATGTGTATTTTTACTCCACTTTATCAATAACTAAACACATTTATGAACGGACTGAGCAGAGATAAAATCTAAAGTCTGATCGAAGCCCTTCCCTCTGATCCAAAACCAACACAACACAATAATATTCCACAGATGTGTTTTTCACACGACCTCAACACTTTCATCTGAGACCTGAGTCTGAACTTCAAATGGTTTCAACGCAACAAGAGGCAAAACTAACACACACTGTCTCCCTGTGGGTCTGAAGATACACACAGACACACAATACTGCTGCAGACACACACAATACTGCTGCAGACACACACAGTACTGCTGCAGACACACACAGTACTGCTGCAGACACACAATACTGCTGCAAACACACAATACTGCTGCAGACACACACAGTACTGCTGCAGACACACAATACTGCTGCAAACACACAATACTGCTGCAGACACACACAATACTGCTGCAGACACACACAGTACTGCTGCAGACACACACAGTACTGCTGCAGACACACAATACTGCTGCAAACACACAATACTGCTGCAGACACACACAATACTGCTGCAGACACACACAGTACTGCTGCAGACACACAATACTGCTGCAAACACACAATACTGCTGCAGACACACACAATACTGCTGCAGACACACAGTACTGCTGCAGACACACAATACTGCTGCAGACACACAATACTGCTGCAGACACACAGTACTGCTGCAGACACACAGTACTGCTGCAGACACACAGTACTGCTGCAGACACACAGTACTGCTGCAGACACACACAGTACTGCTGCAGACACACAATACTGCTGCAGACACACACAGTACTGCTGCAGACACACAGTACTGCTGCAGACACACACAGTACTGCTGCAGACACACACAGTACTGCTGCAGACACACAATACTGCTGCAGACACACACAGTACTGCTGCAGACACACAGTACTGCTGCAGACACACACAGTACTACTGCAGACACACACAGTACTGCTGCAGACACACACAATACTGCTGCAGACTTACTTGTGGCGGTGTGTGTCCCG